GCTGCCTGAGCCACGGCAATCTTAGCAGCTTGATCCATCTGCTGATTGTGTTGATGTTCTTCAGTAGCTCGGCGCTTGGGCACGTGAGCATCGATGTGACGCACTTTGACGACCAGGTTGTCAAGACAGGAAGCAATGTCTTGCCATAGCGCGGTAGCCCAGATGTGTTTCCCTTGGCACTGGCAGTTGCTCTGTTTTCATTGCTGTAGCCACCCCCCACAGGGCATTTGCCACCATCCACGAGTCAGTGTAGAAGTAAAGAATTAGCCATTTCTCTCGTTTAGCAGTGTCCAAAGCCAGCCAGCCTTTACCTCTGCAAACTGGCTGGATTCACCTTGGCCTTCAGCAGTCTCTGCAACTTGGCGTGTGGGACTCCACACAGCAGCTTTCCACTGCCGATGTTTCCCTACGATGCAGCAGGAACCATCAGTAAACAGGGCATATTGCTTCTCATTTTCTGGCAACTAGTTGTACAAAGGGGCTTCTTCAGCCCGTGTCCCCTCCTCCTCTGGTGACATTCCAAAGTCTTTGCCCTCCGGCCAGTCCGTGATCACTTCTAAGATTACTGGACGACTGGGATTCCCTATGCAGGATTGTTGTGTTATCAGGGCAACCCACTTACTCCATGTAGCCTTAGTGGCATGGTGAGTGGAAGAGACTCTGCCTTTGAACATCCAGCCCAGCACTGGCAGTCGAGGTGCCAGGAGGATCTGTGCTTCAGTCCCAACCACTTCTGAGGCAGATCGAATTCCCTCATAAGCTGCCAGTATTTCTTTTTCAGTTGGAGTGTAGTGGGCCTCAGATCCTCTCTATCCCCAGCTCCAAAATCCTAGGGGTCAACCTTGGGTCTCCCCTGGATCTTTCTGCCAGAGACTCCAGGTAGGGCCATTCTCCCCGGCTGCAGTGTAGAGCACATTCTTTACCTCTGGCCTGTCCGGACTGGTCCAAGGGCTACTGCATGCACGATCTCCTGCTTGATCTGTTCAAAGGCTTGTTGCTGCTCAGGGCCCCATTTGAAATAGTTTTTCTTACGAGTCACTTCGTAGAGAGGGTGCACAATTTGGCTGTAATTTGGGATGTGCATCTGCCAGGAACCCACGACGCCTAGGAAAGCTTGTGTTTCCTTTTTGCTCGTTGGTGGGGATATAGCTGTGATTTTTGTCGATCATTTCCATCGGGATCTGG